TAGTGAAAACTCTTGTGTCAGAAAGATGTCCCATCTTTTGCTGACAGGTTATGAAGATGCCCCATCTTTTCTTAACCAGTGGAAGCTTAAAAGGAGTCTAATATTATTATTTACAATGTGCTACGTTAGAGTAAGGCGGTGCAGCTAGTGCTACAGTTTTTGGAATAATATCTAGAGTACTTTTAGTGAAAACTTTTGTGTCAGAAAGATGTCCCATCTTTTGCTGACAGGTTATGAAGATGTCCCATCTTTTCTTAACCAGTGGAAGCTTAAAGACAGTCTTGTATTATTCTTTACAATAAGCTAAGTTAGAGTAAGGCGATGCAGCTAGTGCTATAGTTTTTGGAATAATCTCTAGAATACTTTTAGTGAAAACTTTGTGTCAGAAAGATGTCCCATCTTTTGCTGACAGGTTATGAAGATGTCCCATCTTTTCTTAACCAGTGGAAGCTTAAAAGGAGTCTTATATTATTCTTTACATCACGCTAAGTTAGGGTATAAGGCGGTGCAGCTAGTGCTATAGTTTTTGGAATAATATCTAGAATACTTTTAGTGAAAACTTTTGTGTCAGAAAGATGTCCCATCTTTTTCTGGCAGGTTATGAAGATGTCCCATCTTTTCTTAACCAGTGGAAGCTTAAAAGGGGTCTTATATTATTTATTACCCGACAACGCAGGCGCGGGCGTAAATTCCGTAAAATAGCTAAGACAATGTCAATGTTGTCAATGCAGCTGTTGTTTTTGGAATAATATGTAGATATATCTTGGTGAAAACGGTAAAAAGGTTTGTTCCAGATTCATTTGCGCAATATAGGGCCTTGGGAAAGGCTGTACAAGTGTATAAGCCATTGAAGCCGCCGCACTTTTTATACTGCCAAGATCTATAAAGACGGCAAATAGGTTTCGACGTTTCGATATGGAATTATCATGCCATACTTTGTACGTAAACAAAATCTAGGCTGAATATTATTCACGCTATTCGATCTCTAAGATATCAAGAACGTTTTGTTTTACAACTCATGCTCGAGTATTATTACATGCAGCCTTATTTCACATTATACGCTATAGCCGTATAGCCTGACCATAGCCATAGGTGACTTGTCAACAGTCAGCATCGTAAATATCATCCTGACATATTTGTACACTTTTATTTTAATGCATAACAGAAAATTAACTTATTACTTGCTTGGTTTCACACTGCGTTTAAGCAACTGAACCTGGATTGATGACATCTTATAGCGATAATTAATAATGCGATTAGCGTTGCTCGTTTCCTGAAGTTGCAAACTCAGTTTGCAGATCCCGCTGTTTTTCAAAACGTGCGGGTTGTCATGTAACAAGTCAAGGTCCGCAAGGAACTAATTTCGTCGATCTTTGGAGCCAAAGACATAATGTTCGTCAGCATTAGGCTTGGGACAAACTGCAGAGAAACTCCCTGTTCACGGTTAATGTTTTGGCTTTGGCATTTAATATAAATAAGTTTCTTCAGATTTACAACCTTGTGAGCGCTGGTCATATTATGATAATACGACAGTTGACTGTTCGTAGTACACGAATTCGGTTGTCGTATTTCGCATAGATTGTCCAGTGTTATAGAAATTCTCTTTGGTTCGGCTGCTAATAATCGATTTGATACTTCTCACCTTGTTAAAACCAGCAAGACATCCACGCGTCTTAGTGGAGGCTTGTTCGAAGCAATTTTCAGGTTCACTAACGGCTTCCGCTACACTGGATTACTCAAAGCTCGAAATAGACCATTAAAAGACTTCAATAATTCGCACGAATAAGACCATATTGTCCTTTACTATTAATTAATCGAATTCGGTAATCGATATAACAACTGTGAAAAGTTAAAACATTTAAAAAACTAGATGAATATACGTACGGGAGCAGGCGAGCAGCCAACGGCGCTTTGAAAGATTGTGAAACATTTCAATGATGCCATTTCTTTCTATAAGGATTCGGAATTTAACCCAGAACAGCCTTTACGAGTCACATTTGATGAACAGCCAGCAATAGATGGTGTGGCGTGCTAAGACAGTTTTATATAGATCTATTCTCATAATTTGTAGATGAGAAGATGGATGATGTTTGTAGTGGCACTTTCCATTAACACGGCCAGACAGGTCAGAACGGTCAAATGTTGAATGGCACGCAAAACGTTTGGGCTTCGGACCTATCTGACCGGAAATGTAGATAAAATCAGAATGAGGTCCATTTTCGCTAGATATTTGAGGAACATAAACCAGATCTTTTTATTGATACAGAGACAAAAATTCAGGTCTGACGCCAAAAATATTTTTTCCAAAAACTTTTTTTCAGGTAAAATTCGAAATTTTAAGACTTTCAGGTAGATTTAACCCCCCCCCCCTGATGCGAGTCCTTCGCGACGGCACGTCTGGCCTGCTTTTCTGGCCTGCCGATTTTGCCGTCGTGCATAAATTTTTATCACTAAAATATATAGTATATAATTATATATAATTATCACTAAAATATATAGTTGAAAATTCTTCCAAACTTTTTTTATGTAAGAATACAAAGCATGACTTTGATTAGCCTCCTCCGCAGGCATCTCGTGGTAGACATGGTTGAGCCGTTCTGCGCATCTTGCTTGCGCAGCGGTTTTGTCTCTAGGGTATGCACGTGGGGAGGGATTTGTCATCCAAGATGGCGGATTGCATGGAGTGAAGAATTATGAGAATTATATTAATACGGTCGCTAAAGGTGGCTTGAAAGAATCTTAATCCGGAAATTAAAATTGTTATCAAAAAATTAAAATTGTTATCAAATAATTTACATGTTGTCAGTTGACATATATTTTTGTATATCTGTAGATGGAAAACATCAAGCCATCAAGGTTGACATATATTTTTGTATTTAAAGCTGCAGATGGAAAAACTTAATATCAAAATGAAATGCATTTAACTTCATATAATATTTTTTTGGATCGGTTAGTTGTTTTGTGTTAAGTAATTATTAATGTCTGGCTGGCATAATTATATAAAATAGTACAGTTATCATGTACAGTTAGTTCATGGTTGTCAGAAGCAGGACAAATTAAAATTGCCCTACATAGAATGTGTAGAAATGTAACAATATAAAATATATTTCTACATGATAATTGTGGACCCAGTGTTAATAGAAACCAAGGCAAGAGCCATGTTGATTTGAGTGAAAAAGCCTTGGTCTGGTGTTTGGTTGTCAGATTGGCCGAGTATGCCAATCAGTGAAGCAACATTCAAGCTAACGCCACTGTCTGAAATCTAAAATTAGCTGGGTTAACTAACTATATTAAAATATTTAGTACTAGTCCAGCGGAAAAGTAAAAAATCATGCACTTTGTGAAGAAAGCACCCAATTGACAGGAAGTGTAGACTTTAACGTGATAGTGAATTTAGGATTTCTTATATTCTCTTATTAAACCCTATTACTGTTAAAATCGTGAAATTGCAGGTTCACGTATAGCAAATATGACTTGCATGATTAGAAATATGACTTGCATGATTAGACTTGCTGATTGACTTTCCAAGCGGTTTTCCAGATATTGCTATTTAAAAACGTGATAAATAGGCAAAAATCCCGCCAAAGTCCTGGACACTAGCCCTAAAACATATTTTCAACCGCTCATAACTCCAGAGAAGTTGGAAAATCAAAGTAACTGCTTAAATGTCTTATATGCAGTTTTTTGTAAGCTTTCTAATGACGCATGTCATTTTTGCTATATGTGAACCTGCAATTTCAGAATTTTTAATTGTATAAGAGACTAATAAGAGAATATAAGAAATCCTAAATTTTAAGCCGTCAGCATCAATTTTGGTGATGCCTCCATATCTAAGATTTATTATCATGTTAAAGTCTACACTTCCTGTGAATTTGATGCTTTCTTCACAAAGTGCATGATTTTCTCAAATATCTGTGCATATCCGCTGGACTATACCTGCATGGTGTGAATTGCATTGTACAATCCAGCAGTTAAACAATAACGTGGTAGATGATTATAATAATATAATTTTTTTTCCAAATAAACATGTTGAATTGTCAGGGTTTCCATGAAAGAAACTAGGTGCTATTTTGCATGTCTGAGATGGAGATTAAGGTGCTGCATCCTAGAAAGTGTGGACAGCAAGGTTTACATTGTACAGTTAGCAGCTTCAAGGCTACAGTGACATGGACAAGCAACCATTGTCAATGACAACATTGATCAAGCATGTCATAACCTGCCAGATAGAATAGTGACATATTGAACATGGCCAGCATTCTGTTCTGCTGACACGTTATTTACAATATATTATAACATGCTTTTAATGAATGAAAAAAGAAAGAAATGGGATAAAAAATAAAGTGTAAACTATGGTCCATGCTCACAATTTCCCTGCAACTTATTTTTAAATCACGTCGCCTTTTATCAGAAATTTCATTGCAAGTTGCAGATTTACTAGAGGGGGATGCACCCTCCTAGCCTTGGAGGAGGGGGAACTTTTTTTCATGATAAAGCAAAAAATAATAGAGACAAAATGAGATACAGTAATTTGAGCAAATATAACATGATGATAAGCAAACTTCAAAAAACAATTACCATTCAAATCAGGGCTTTCAGAATTACTCTGAGTAGGTGTCTGTTTTGATAGAGTAGGCGGCTGTTGGGAGGGTGCGGTCTAGGGGGTCTTAAAGTTATCCAAATTAACAACTGTATATTGGTTAGATATAGCAACACGACTGAGCTCTGTAACCAAGTTATAATGTAACACCACTTTAATACTTCAACAAGATAAGATTAGGATTTAAGATGGCAAATAACTAAATCATTAGACCAGGTTGATGAAAGCTTAGAGTGGAAAAAGGAGAGCAAATTGATATTTCAAGTACTAAACAAAGTAAGCGGCGGTAAACCTTGTAGCACCTGTCGGAGCTGCGGCAGCCACCGGCTTATTTTGAAAGCCCTGGAGTATGTTGATGGGCGAACAGCATACATGACCTACACCACTCTGCACCATAGCTGGCAAAGCAGCCCCCCACCAGATCATGCTGGTTTGATCCTTGGATTATTTACAATTACAATTTTCAAATGACAATCCAAATTTTTAGATGGCTGTCTAAAATTTTAGTCAGCTGGATGGCAGGCTGGTTAATACCATGAAGTAATGCAGTAGAATAATCTTGAGCGTAACATCTAACATAATACAGCAACAATATAAATTGTATAACTTGTTTGACTTATAATTATTGAATATAAACACTTCTTACATTTGGTCAACTTGCACAATAGTTGCTTGCAAACTTGTGTTTAAGCACAGTCAGTACTAAGCAGTTTACTCAGTGGTTACATAGTTTACATGCTGTACATGTACTCAACAAATCCCTGAAATATGCCTCGCTATTATGTACCGATCAATTCGAAACTTCATCATCCCCCCCCCCCCCAAGGCATACCCCGGGAATTTGACTTCAAGTCTTCTCCAGGGAGTAGGGAATTTGACGTTCTAGGTCTTCCATGTGGTGGGGCATTTGATAACGGGGTGGGGAATTTGAACCGGAAGTCTTAAAATTTTGCCCGTTTTCGCGTGCTTCCTGCATCCACGGGAATTAGAAAATACTTCGCATTGGCGGCAAATACAGTTTTCTCAGATTTCAAGGGAAACGGCCTCAATTTTGTGAAAAACTGGCTCAAAGAAACGGGCATGGAAAATCTATGTGCTTCATTTGAAGGTATATACTACATAATTGTGTAAAACTGTTAAATTTCCACAAGGTATCCAAACTTTTTACGTGAATTTCGCTATCTTGTCGAAAAACATTTCCGTATATTTTGTACTTTTGGTATTTACTGTTTCATAATTTTCATATGAAGGTGGGGCATTTGAACGCTCAATTTCTTGTTACAGTGGGGGCATTTGAAGACATTTTTTGCACAGGGGGTGGAGAATTTGATCAGTCAAATTTCAAAAAGTTCAAATTCCCGTGGTCGGCCCGGGGGGATGGTGAAGTTTCGAATTGATCGATACATAACAAGCAACATACAACGTAAAAACACATGGTATTGTAAACTTGAAGTTTCTTCTCTGCTGAAGTATCTCAAAATTGTGTAGACAAACCAGTTTCAATGTCATGCACGTCCACTAGAGTGTATATAAACAGTAATCGACAATTCCAAGAGCCAAGAGCACCCATTATCCAGTTGAAATTTTGACATTTACCACTCCATCTGCCTTCTAGAGTATTCCGTTTCCCAAAAGTATTAATATTTGATGTTATATGCATGTAGGATACAGACCAAATTTAAATTGAACGGTTGCAAAAATTCTTATAAATGCCATTCACATTCACACTTCGTCGCTCGATATACGATTTACACAGTTTCGGCGTGGTTTGACCAACTGTATTTCGTTAAATTCCGGCCATCCGTTGTAAGAGCAAAATGATCAATGTTTCATTCATATTTGTAACAATTTACAAGATGAAAATGATATTCTCGATCGATATTTTTTCGAATTGTGTTTGAATATGAAGTATAAATAAAGAGATCTTATCCTATGAGAGTGGGGATCATACAGCTTTTGACATTTTGTAGTAGTTTTGAGATGAACAAACTAATCCCCAGGGTACCCCGGGTGCCACGACAAGTCCGTTGAGGTGACACGGCATGTCCATTCACTTCGAGTTTCAGCAGGAATCTCTCCCCAATTTTCTCCCTGCACAGGTAACCCAATAAGAACATCAGTTATTTGAATAACTAAATTATATAAGTTCTCGACGATTAAGAGATGCCTGCGGAGGAGGTTAGACTTTGATAAAGCATGACTTTGATAACAAACGACGAACTCAAAGTTGTAAACAAAATTGTTGCGAATATATGAAAATGTTATTGTTGTCGCCAACACAATCTACTTGAAGAAACGTTACTTTGCTTCAGATAGCCTTCCTGGGAATAAGCATTCCCTAGGCACTAATGTTTTCAACTGAACCTATCTATAGTGCTATACCGAGACGATTTTACTGCGCTGCGGAAACTTGTTTTCTCAACACAGTAACATTTGTCTTCGCCCGTCATTGTTTAATTGTAAGCGACAATCTCATGCTAGCGTTTAAATTTTCCTCTGGATTTCTTAAATGTTGCACTCCGTTCCAGAAGATTAGACAGGTGAAAACACAGTTTAAAATATAATTAAACGACTTTGTCAGACAATTTGAAGCGATATTTGCATGGAAATGTATTAATTAAAGTGAGTACCGGCAAGGAGGATAATCGTGTTATAGCGAAGAGCTACGCATGTTTTTAATTAAACAGTGTTGGAACAATTTGGAATGTAAACATGGTTTAAGCAATTAGTGTAGAAGCGTCACTATATATATTCCAAAAATTGTCGCGTAATTTCAGTTTTGAAGACGATGCTGACAAGAAACAACAAACCTCATGGTCAACCTTTGTTCTTTTTAACCACATGTAAAATGAAAAGTTTTGTTAAAATACCACACTTGTTATTTAAATTTTTGTTCCTCATAATGTTTCCACTTGCAGTTAAAATGGAGGACGAATACTGCAGACCTGAGAATTCAACCAACGTAGCGCTTTCTTTTCGTTTGTTGTATAAAGGTAAGTTTCTTTTAAGAAATATCATTCTGATTTATACAACTAAAACTTAATAACAATAATGTTTGTATGTTAATCGGTTTAAAGGTTTTACAACTTCTTCCTTGTCACGTTCGCATTATTTTCAACTAGGAATATAGCCTCATATAAGAAATAACGGTACTGTTGTCCTGAAGCAATAAAAATAATTAATTGTGATAATTTTTGTAATATCGAAAAGCAAAAAATTTGGAATGACACTGCATCATAATAGTTCATGAAACAAGAAAAAGTATAGCGTGGATTAGGTCATGCATGTTCTCTACTAAAACAAGGTTTGAATCTTGCAAGTTTACTGAAAATGATGGAATATATTAAAGCTTCGATATAGGATATATTTAAAGGTTCTTTCGCCTATTAAGCGTTTTGAGATACGGCATTTTGTGAGTTTACCTGTGCCGAGAAATATTTGTGGGTGATCAATCAATATATTAATTTTTGTTGTAATGGCGAAATAGCTTAGCAACTGGTTTATTCCCTGCATGTTTGCTAATTTCAAAACTATTCACACAGAAAACTTAGAATCGATCCCCCTGCTTTATCGTTAATTACCATGGGACATAAAAATACTGGATAAGACGTTTTCCTGAAGGATTCAACGAGCGGATGGCGTCTCAACGTTGTCGAAAATTATGACATCACTAAATCTAAAATAATTCCACGTTTGGCTATAATACACCTGAGAATTTTAGTCAAAACCCCATGCCATTAGCCGAATTCATATTAGGGACGGGAAACTCGTCTTAGACGGGAAACTCGTCTGCGAAAACCCGTCTGAATATGAATTTAGGGACGGATAAATTCGAATTTAAGACGAGTTTCCGGTCTAGATGAGATTCCCGTCTAACTTTCCCGGCTGTTTAGACGGGTATGTTAGACGGGAATATGAAACCTCAAATTCAAATTGTCCAATCAGGAAGCTTAGTTTGTGCCACGTGGGCATGAAATTAATCGCGATATCACGCCTTACGTCATCAATTAGCGAGCCTGCGTTCTTTTTGACAATGTTCCACCCCATGTTCCCCGGGGAACATGGGGTGGAACATTATTCGCGTAGACCACGCGAGACAATACGCATGACAACAACATGGCCGACAAAATATAAATAGTATTGATGAGTGATGAATAATCTGGGTAAATGATGTAAAACCTGGGGCTTTTTCAAAATTTTGAAGTCAATTTTGAAAAATGTTGTCATTAATATTCCAAACGATATGTGATTCGAAAGAAAAGTGACGATACTTGCGTTAATCCGAAAATAAAACATCGTATTCACGAAGGTATGTGTCAAGTTTTTATTTCTCAACTTGGAGGCTTTTAATTTTCGGTATAATATATCATTTATAGACCCTCCGCTCGGGGAATTCGGCGAAATATTACCCTCAGTGATGATATTTCCCTCGGGGCAAAGCCCCTCGGGAAATATCATCACTTCGGGTAATATTTCGCCGAATCCCCCTCGCTCCAGGTCTATAAATGATAAAAGTTCGGACGGGAAACTCGTCTGCGCCCGGGTTCATATTAGACGAGGTTCCCGTCTGAGACGAGTTTCCCGTCTAAGACGAGTTTCCCGTCTCTAATATGAATTCGGCTATTCTACGATATAATGTCTCACTA